TATAGGGAGAGGCAGCTGAGTTTTCTTTGGCTTAATATCTCCCTCTGATAATGTCTGTCTCAGTAGACGGAAGCTTGTCGAATTTTCACTGGAATCGAAGGTGATTGATTCGGGGGCAGCGTCAGCAAGAATGCTCCAGTGATCCCAAGCGACTGCTGATCAAGAGGGATCCGCCGTCATCTTGTTATGCGATTTGCTTATGATTCTTTTCACTATGTACTTTCACTCGAAATTGAAGTGAGCTTATCATTTAAGAAACCGGTATACAGTCGTTCACTTTCTCTGTACTCGACTTCCCGGCTAAGGAGCCAGGCCGAATTTGGGCGAAGTCGATCCCGAGAGAGGTAAATGAGCGATCAGCCGATACACTTGGGATTATAGCCTTTTCCTTTACTGATTTCAGGAAGATGCTTCGACAATAGGAGATTTAATCAAAGGTATGAAGACCAAGATGGTATGGCCTTTTGTGTGGTTGTAGTCTCCTTTCGTTGCATAGAAGTTGTCTCATGAAAGCCGCTAAAAAGGGCACACCGTACCACATTTAAATAGGCAAGTTGAAATACCTCATGCCACCAAATTGCTGGCAATTAAAATGGTACTTCTTACATTTCAAACTGGTCACACAATTGCAATGCTTTCTGTCAACAATGGTTGGCGTAAAGTGAATATATTCCGCCCTGGACCGACATATCTTTCGCTCGAATACTGCTGGGCGCATTGGTGTCAGCATCGCATTTAATCGGCCTCGATTCGGGAAAGATGTCTGAAATGATGCTTGCCGGCCAGAGCGGAGCGCATGAAAGGCACAACCTTTTGAAGGTAGTCAACCGACAACAATGTAATATGGATCAGCCAGTAGATTCAGCACGAAAGTAAAGCGATAGGCCTTTACCTGAAGAGCCTAGTTTAAGGAATGTGGTGGCGTCACTGATGAATGCAAGTTCATCCAAAGATTTGTAGCCTTCAAGGTCCTGAATCCACCAATTTAAGATGGGTCTACGAGGCCTTCATCAATCCACACGGTAAACCCCCTTTTCAGAAATAAGCCTATTTACACGGGCCATACTTTATGGTACATAATTGCCCGCTTATTTCCCTCTCCTCCCCCTCTTTCATGTATCTCTTCCTCCTCCTCTTCAACACGCACGTGCCTGTGTGCACATGTCCGTCTGAAATTTCACCATCCCTATCTCCCCATCCTCGGGTCTAGCAAGATGACTGAATCCATTTGGAATCACGTTACATGCGGAAAAGTGGATGTACAGATTGCCCACCACTAATGCGTCAGTAATTCGGTTAGACTAGTCCACACTAGTCCACACTAGATATGGCCTTTTCTCCCATAAATATGCACATGTATCACCGATGTTTTGCTCTCTGTCTCGTCTCTTTCTCACTACCCCACATACGCGTGAACTCTTCCATTCTGGTAGAAGCCAACAGGCAGGGACGCCCGATTTCCCCTTGGCCCAGGCCTCGATAGAACGACAAAGGGTCTCGTTTCACCCCGCCACTCTTCTCGCCAGCCTGGGGCACAAGTCGGCCGGGTTGGCCAAATATGTCCGCTAGAACACAGAAGAGGCATGTTGATCAAGTAAGCTCTGATCTACTGCAGGTGTCTTTCAGACCGAAGATGTGTCGACGAACTGTCGGGATAATTAGGGCTTGCGATAGGAAGCAGAATGAAGCCATAATTATTTCAGGACAGAAGCAACCTGGAAGAAGAGTGTGAAGTGAGCGGGTAAGGTGGACTACGCCAACCAGTCCAGTCCCTAGAGTTTGACCTGTGGCCATCACATTGTGGGAATGATGACTAACTTTTGGGCCATGAACAAGTGCTAAATGGGCTGGGCAAGGGGTATGTGATCGAAATTTTCAGATCAAGCTTTGGCTTAGGTTGACAACAGAAATGGGTTACGAAAAATGAAAAGTTGTTCAAAGCAATATTCTTTTCATTAAAAGACTTGGCTGGCAAACGGTAAGTTGCGCATATAATGAAGTGTTATTTTTTAGGAATATTTTGGCATACAATTGTCAAGCTCGTTTTTATTACAAGTAAATGGGCATGAGATAAAGGGACTCGACAATGGGGATCTA